TACATAGGGAGAAGGTTCTAGAACTGTGCTGTGGGCACCTCTACATGGAGCTAGTGGTCACTTAAATGTGGCAAATCCAAATTAAGATGTGCTTAAGTGTAAAACACACATCAGATTTCGAAGACTTGGTATGAAAAAAGAATGTAAGATATATAAAGTATGCATTAATACTTTTAGATTGATTACACATTAAAATAATGATGCTTATCCTGGGCCAGAGACTGTGGCTCATGCCTGTATCCCAACACTTTGGGAAGCTGAGGTGGGAGGATTGCTTGAGGTCAGGAGTTCAAGGCCAACCTGGGCAACATAGCAAGACCCCTATCTGTATAAAAAAAAAAAAATTAACTGGGTGTGGTGGTGAACACCTGTAGTCCCAGTTACTCGGGAGGCTGAGGTGGAGGAATTGCTTGAGCCCAGGAGTTCAAGGCTGCAGTGAGCTGTTTTCACACCACTGCACTCCAGCCTGGGTGACAGAACAAGACACTGCTTGTAAATAATAATATTTATCAGTAAATTAATTTCACTTGTTTCCTTGTACTTTTAAAATGTGGTTACTAGAAAATTTAAAATCACATATGTGGCTCACATTGTATTTCTACTGGACAGTACTAGTCTAGGCTCTAGAAGATACTCTGATTCTAGAATTTGTAAAAAGAACTTTTCCAAATCAGTAAGAAAAATAGAAGAAACTCAGATGGGCAATGGACACATGGGAATGTACCTCACTGGTAAGGAGGGGGTGGAAAGCTCCAGGCCACTGGAGCCCTGAAGGGACATGGGAGAAAACCAGGAAGCAGGGCAGCCCCTCTGAGAAGAGCAGTGAGGCTTTGAGAGGAGATGGCGGAGGGTTCATCTGCAGGGAGTACACAGTGGTCTGAGTCACTAACCCTTGAGCAATCACTGACTGTCACCGCATGATGGCCCAGTCCAAAGCCCCTACAAATGGTAGGCACCCTGAGCACCAACTATAGGTAAGCTTCCAGGGCTGGCCCGTCTGGCTGATATGGGCAGCAGCCAGACCAGCGGCTCTACCAGCTCCCCCTCATCTTCGCTTCCTGCTTCCCTGTGGCCCGGACCAGGCTCTTGTGCAGCTCGATGGGGGGCCAAAGAGCCACCTGAATCCCCTCCCAGGTAGGGTCTGTTGCTGGCAGTAGGGAGTGTGACAAGACAACCTCCAGCCACCAGCGACCTCCGAGTGCAGCCTCGCTAAGGTCCCGCTCCTCCTGGAAGGCTCCCTCTCCTCTGGTGAGAGACTGTAAATGCATAGCGGACACCGTGATTAGCGACCCAGGCTCCCGAGCGCCCCAGCCGTGACTGAGGCTTTGTCAGGCCACATGGGGTCGACTTCTCCTCTGCAACATCCTTCTCAAGGGCTGATCCCAGAGAAGACATCCGCCTCCATCCCAAACTGTCGCGGCATCTGCTCTGGAGAGCCTAACCCAGGACACCTCTGTGATGAGGGGTGCCAGCGTCTGCAAGTTGCCTGTGATGTGATGATGGGAGAGGGAGATGTGTCCCTGTGGGTTCCAGTTTGTCTGCACTGTCCCCACTTGACCCACCTTTGCTTCCTGATGGTGGCCCTGTGGTGCTACAGAGACTTTGGTACCATGGGCCTACTCACCGGCTCCAACCCAGCAGAGGCACTAATTCCTTGAATAAAGCCCTTATGCCACATCACTCACAGTGGTTCTTCTCCCCCTCACCAAGCTCTGACACGGTATCATTGAGGGAAAGAAAGTGTCAAAAAGGACAAGAAATAGCGTAATTTCTGAAATCTGAAAGGCCCTGCTTCAAAACGTGTTTAATTCTAATTTTCCTGAAAACATACAAGGGGGACCCTGCCTCCCCCCCAAAATCCCGGAGTTATCTTTTGGAGGGTATACATTCAAAATGTGTTCCTCTGGATCACACAGTCAACCAAAGTTTTTATCTGGAAGTTTTGAGAAGGTTGTGCACAGTTTGTGAAGAAACCTCCCGAGTTGTGGCAAACAGGTAACTGGTTCTTCCACTATGACAACACTCTTGCCCATACCACGTTGTGTTCATCAGTTTTTGACCAAAACAACATGATCTCCATGTCCCATCCTCCCTATTCACTTGCACTGAGTGACTTTTTTTATTTTCCCAGAATAAAAAAGTCCTCAAGGGAAGTGTTTTGCTGATGTGGAAGAGGTAAAACAAAACACAGCAGAAGCACTAAAAAGCATCAAAATGGATGAGTTCAGAAACTGTTCTGAGCGGTGGAAAAAGCAACTCGGTAGTTGTACTGCATCAAACAGAGATTACTTTGAAGGTGACTGAAGTTTAAACATGTAAGAATAAATACACATTTTTAAAAAATATTGAGCTGGAGTCTCACTCCTGCATCCAGGCTGGAGTGCAGTGGCACGTACGCTCACAGCCACCCCAGCATCAACCTGTGGGGCTCAGCAATCCTTCTGCCTCAGCCTTCCAAGTTGCCAGAAATACAGGCGCGCGCTACCACACCCATCTATTTTTTATTTTATTGTAGAAACGAGGTCTCGCCAAGTTGCCTGGGGTTGGCCTCGAATCCACGGGCTCAAGCAAACCACTTGCCTTGACTTCCCAAAGTGCTGGGATTACAGGCTGAGCCACTGAGCCCGGCCACACAATTTTTTATTTAAAAATTCCAGGGTTTTTTTTGATCCCCCCCTTGTAGAGTTCAATATTTATAGAACACTTTATGTGAACCTGTAGGATTTCATCAGAAAGTGTGTTTTTCACATCTTAAATATTAAGCTACCTTTTTCTTGTTTAATTCCATTTTAAATGAGGTTTCAATCTGAAGGAGTGAAATCCAAGGGTGATGAGCTCAAGTCCTGGGCTTTGGAGACAAAACCGGAGTATGAGTCAAGTGAGTGTTTTTTGGGCTCCTGAGTCTGGTCAGGTGGCACTGGGAGGGCCTCTTGGGTACTGAAGGGAGGAACCTCCAAGAGGGAGTGTGGAAAAACCCAAGTTTGAAGACATGATTCCTACACTCAGGGCATCAGAGATCCCCCCAAGAGTCCCGAGGCAACTGTTTCTGGAACCCATGGTCCATGGGTCCTCCCCACTCTCTGAGGGCTCTGGAAAATGACCTTAAATCCCATACCCACCCGTCCCCAATTGTTGATTCCAGAAGCTGCACAATGCCCCACACCCACCATCCCAGCATGACAGTCCTTGCTTTCCTCCCACCTTCCAAACCTCGTGAAATTTCTCTTGGGGCCAACCCTGAAGGGAGCCATAAGGGTCCCAGTTCATCTGAGTTTACACAGAGCAAGTCACCACGGACAGATGCTCACACTCCCAGGTCTCTCTGGACACTGGTCACCATGGAGAGGCCTCCCTTCTCCGCAGAGCTGACTGGGCAGGAGGCCAGTGCCAGCGTCTACACAGCTCCCCAGAGAGTCTGGTGTTCCAGTAACTCTGCACCCCCTGCCCTCTGTCCTCCCTCAGACATTCGCCCCATCTGGGGAAGTAAAGTGCAGGTAGTGATAACAGTAATCACCCCAACAAGGTTCGTGATTTATTGTCTGAACTGATGATTCTAAGTGAACACACAGACTCTATTTACGTACATTAACAGAAACAAGTTAGGGACTTCACAAGTGCAGCTTTACCACTCACAGACTGAAATAATCTGAAGACAGGGTGAGTCGAAATCACACATCCCTGCAAGTAGTTTATTCAAAGCTGATTTGTCCACCACAGAACAAACCATACCTAATAAATATTGATGAGTTCTATGTTAAAAATAAGCTCAACTTTTACATACTAATTTGTAGCCACTTTTAAGAGTTATTGGGCAAAAAGAGGGAGAAATGGAGAAAAAATGGAGAAATGGAGGTGCCCTGAACAAGGTGTGGCTGATTTGTTACCCTTTGTGTTAAATAGAGGGGAAAGAATATATGTGTACTACATTCATTTAGATTTTTTTTTTTTTTTTTTTTTTGAGTCAGAGTCTCACTCTGTCATTTAGGCTCGAGTGCAGTGGCGTGCTCCTGGCCACCCCATCCTCGACCTGCTGGGCTCAGGTGATTCTTCCACCTCAGCCTTCCAAGTAGCTGGAACTATGGGCACTCACCATCACACCCAGCTAATTTTTTTTATTTATTGTATAGATGAGGTCTCGCTAAGTTGCCCAGGCTGTTCTTGAACCTGTGGGCTCAGGCAATCCTCTCACCTCAGCCTTCCAAAGTGCTGGGATAATAAGGTGTGAGCCACCACACCCGGCCTACATTTAGATCTTATACATACTCTGTATGTGCATAAACACATATCACATGTATGTGCTAGAAAGATAAGCCCATGCTGGTGTCATTGGTGCCTCTGAGGAGGGAACTGGTGGCTGCGGAACAGGGAGGGACACGTCCTTACATAACACTTCATGCCTTTTAGCTTTGAAGCATGCGCATTTATTATTTAAAAATAAATTAACAAAAAACCATATATTCCCAAAAAGCTGAGCAATAAACCATTAAAAAACAGATTAATTTCATTGCAATCCAGGGCATCCTGGGAGCTGCCTGTGTAGTATTGATGGCTTATACTGTCACATATATATATATTTTTTTTCCGAGTTGGAGTCTAACTCTGTCGCCCGGGCTGCAGTGCAGTGGCATGCTCAGAGCCACCACAACCTCAACCTGCTGGGCTCAGGCAATCCTTCCGCCTCAGCCTTCCGAGTAGCTAGAACTACAGGTGCGCACCACTACAACCGGCTAATTTTTTTACTTGTTGTAGAGATGAGGTCTCGCTAAGTTGCCCAGGCTGCTCTTGAACCCCTGGGCTCAGGCAATCCTCTCATTGCCGCCTCCCAAAGTGCTGGGATTACAGGTATGAGCCACTGCACCTGGCTAATAATTTTTAAGAAAAAGAATTCAAGTCCCTCTAACCTCAACTCTAATCTCCAATATGCCTTCCAGAAAGAAATGAACATGGAATAACCAGAGCTGCATGGGTTTTTTAAATGAAGCCCCATGGAGGCCTTGGGTCTAACAGTTTTCCAGGCTGTGGCTCCTGTGCTGGGTGACTTGGCCCTCTGGCCCTTGGCTGTACTTGGCAGCAAACAGCGAGGTGAGGAGATCATTCCCGAGGTCCAGGGCCAGGTCGTACGCTGTCTGGCCTCTCATATTCGTCTTGTGGGTGTTCGCATTGCATCTGCAAAGGAAATGGACAAATGGGGGTGTCCTGTTCAGGAACATGACCCTGAGAGCGTGATTCTGCTCTGCCACAGAGGCTGGTCTGGGCAGCTCCTGGTCGCACCTCCCCAAACCTATCCCTAAGAGGCCTCCGTGACTTCAGCTCTCATAAGTAGCTCCGCCCCAAGACCTCCAAGGGTGCTTGGTGATTTCAAAATATTCCATTGCCAATCCTGGTCGCTGGTCCTAGGCCTGTAAGCCATCACACTCCTGCAACCAAGTGCGTTTAAAGGAAGCAGCATTTTCATGGTGTTTAGTGCCTGGGGAGGGGAGCCATGGTGAGACGGTAGCCCCCATGCACAGCGAGAGTGGCTCGGGAACTAAGGACCGTCCCCAGATCCTCACAGGTCAGTAGGACAGCTGCAGTGGCCCCCAGAAGTGTCCATCAGAGGCCAGGGAACATACCCCAGTAAAGTGGCGATGCTCTCCCTTCCTGCCAGGCCAAGCAGAGTTGCCTCGTGAAGAGCTGTATTTCTGAGCCTATTTAAGGAAAAAAAAATTCCCAGATAATCCTTAGTTAGCCGCATCAGGAAATTGGAGAGGACACATGAGACCCAAGGGCCTTAGTTTTACTCACTGACCTTTTTGACTAACCTAGGAAGAGCTCATGAGTCCCCCTTCTCTGTACACCCTGTGGAGGAATACTGTGATGGTGGGTAAGCTTTGTAACTACAGAGAAAGTGAAAAAGTCTAGAAACGCATTCATTTTTTAATGTGAGAAACCCACAGGATGTGGGTTGTAGCTGATTTAATCAATGCTAACAAATACCATTTTAGTAAATTTCCTGCAAGAGTTTATGGAACACAATGGATGTAGTCTCAACTTTGGCTTGGACCTGTTGGGCGCTGTCTGTATGATAATAACTTTTCAGGGCCTAGGTTCCTATTTTTGTGTGGAAAAAATGACCTCCAGTGAGTATGGTTTGCATGATAAGAAAATAAGCACTGATTTTAGAACCCAGAGGGCAGGCCTGAGAGATCAGACAGGGCAGGCTGTGCTGCAGTGCCAGGCTCTCTCCATCTTTCCTGGTCAGGCTTGACCCAGCAAGGGGAGAGAGGGCTGAAGTGGAGGACGGGTGGTACCAGAACTCCTGAAAGGCTCCTGATTCAGAGGCGGCAAGAGTGAAGGGCGATAGAGTCATGACTGGAAGTAGAAATGGGATAAGCAATTAAGGTCTACATTCTCACAGCCCCGTATCTTATGCCATTTACGATACAGCTGGTGCATTCCATTCAAATCTGGATAAGCCAGCTTGTTCTTTAATCACGGCATCATGACTATTTGCTAGCATGCATCAGCGTGCATTATTAGACTCCTCATGGACACTACATACCTGAGAGCATTGCATCCTCTACCACCTCTAGGGCATGGGTACTGTCCCCACTTTACAGTCAAGAAGACCTAGTGACATGTTTATTTTCCCTGCATTTTGTTTTCTTCTGCCTCCAAACTGTCCTCTGTTACCACAGAAGAGTATATTTTCCCCCTCTTTTGCAAAATTCCAAGTGGCCACCTTCAGAGTTTACATCTCTCACGAGGTCTTTCAGACAGCCTCTACAGAAATGTGTAATTTCAACTCATCCCTGTCTTCAGGTTGGCTTTTCAGTCTGTGGATAGTCACACTGCACTTGTGAAGACCCTAAATTATTTGTGTTAATGTATATACATAGAATCTGTATTCACTTCAAATAATAAATTCAGCACAATAATTAATCACTGTGATTATTTGTTCATTTATTCAGCACATATTTGAATGTCAGACTGGTGCCCTTGTGTATGCCTGACTGAGGGACACCGGGTCACATGTCACACAGTGCTTCTTCCTCTCTCAGGGAGCTCAGTGAACTTGGTTGTCAATGTGGGCCAGAGCCGTGCACGGCATGTTCTGGAAGCATCGACAACTGACAAGGATGTCCCCGTCACACCAGTGACACTTATCTCTTCCTTATCTTTCATCCTTTCTTCCTCCCTAGTGGCATAGAACTTAACTGTCTGTCTCATCACCCTGAAAGTTCCTGGGGTCAGTATAAGGCATTTTCCATTTGAACTTGGACACATTCATAAGATTGCCACATCTCCTAATAGACATATGACCTTCTTCCTTCACAGTCCACTCTAGAGAGCAGAATACCTTCTATTTACCGAATAGGGGGTTGCTGGTGGCTAGATTTTGTGTGCTGGCTATTTCCTGCATAGCCACAGTTTAGTTTTGGAAAACGCTAAATTGTCACTCTGCCACAGAATTTGTATTTTAAAGAAACCTTACTATTAATACACAAAAAACACAAACTATTTATTCAAGTCTAAGTGTTACGGAAGATTAAGGCACATGCTCGCTTTGAATCACCTAGTAGAATAAATCTCTTGGCATCTTCCTCCTCTGCCTGGGCAGAGCCAACAGACAGAATGTTTGAAATTGCCAGTGCAGTGAAGTAGCTTAGCCATGGTCCAAAATCAATAGCACTTCTCTGCATCTCTCCCCAGGTGACCCCTGAATCTGTTTCTGAAGTTTGCTGGCAAGAGGCATCAGCTTTGGGAAGGATGTATATTTCCCCATAGCCATTCGTCTGCTGTTGAATATGAGTTCACTCTGGTAGGAAGGATATAAACATGTGTCCAGGGACTCTAGGAAGGGGCTCTCTGTCACCTGCTACTTAACAGAAATTAATTGTGTAGAGACCACCTGGGCACCACTAGCCAAACATGCTCATTTGGGAGAGAGCATTTTAACCCTTGTTTGCTAAGGAACAACAACATATTGATCCTCTTTTGTAGTAAAACTATATTCTTGGATGGCTTATGCCTAAGGGCAAAGGCTGGATGGAAACTTGAGGTCATATTGCTGGATACACAGAGGTCCAGCTGCAGGGCAGAGGCCAGGTCGACCCAGGCCCAAACTCTCCAGACCAGCAGATATACACCAGACATGGCAGAATTTGACTCTCAGTGGGAAAATCTACTTTTCTCTGCCAGCATACACAGAAAAGGAAGACACCCCAGTGCTCTATTTGGGGATGGACCACCCAACTAGCTTTCCTGATTCCCCCACCTCTCCCAGTATGCACTAAATATGGCTCACAGTAGTCATGGTAATGCAGTGAGAGTCACAAAGGGCTATTACAACCATTCAGATAGACGGGTACAACTGGAGTGGCAAACTTTACTGACACGCAATGGGTCACATGTGGATAAATGCCAATATGTGGAATGGTGATAAGACAAATATGGAAACTGAGGCACAGCAAAATAAATCAGGTCATCTATTCAATGTGCCAAATAGTTTCATCCTCTTAGCTGGACTTTTCTTAAAGCCAGGACTTATCGCCGTGACACGTCAATTCAAAATGTGCTCATGATGTTTGTATCATCCACAAAACACTATACTTAAATGCTATAAGACACACTTTCCTGAGTTAGAAAAACATAAAATATACCTTAACACAAAATAAGGTAGCACCATTTTTGTTAATAATAATAATAATAGGGCCAGGCATGGTGGCTCACGCCTATAATCCCAGCACTTTGGGAGGTTGAGGTGAGAGGATCATCTGAGCTCACAGGTTCGAGACCAGCTTGGGAAGCTTGGCAAGACCTCATCTCTACAATAAATCAAAAATTAGTCAGACATGATGGCGCATCCCTGTAGTTCCAGCTACTTTGAAGGTTGAGGTAGAAGGATGACCTGAGCCCAGTAGGTTGAGGTTGCATGCGCCTGCCTTCAGCGTGCCACTGCACTCCAATCTGGGTGACAGAGACTCCAACTCAAATAATAATAATAGTAATAATAATGTATGGGAGAAATGAAGAAGCTGACACAGTATGATGAGTGTAAACCCTAAGAAAACATGAGAAAGTAAATTCCAGCCACCAGAGCTTTACACCAACATACCAAATATCCTCCTACAAAATAAAATTTCAAAAGGGTAGTGTCTACTGATAAGGCTGTCCTATTGGGCAAAAACTTATAAAAATACATATAGAAAAATTAACAGGGATATATTTTGAATAATAACACTAGAAGAAATTTTCAAGCAGAGAATAATAAAAGTAACCCTACTGAAACATTGGCCAGTGCAGTGCTGTGACATACACAGTCACATGTTTTACTGACCAGGTCCTGAACTTGTCTTAATAAGGATTTGGGAGGCAATAGTATTAGATACTTGGGATATCACTAGAAGACTTATTTCAACAATTTTGTCAGCAGGATATAAGCAGTTAACATGAATGACCTGAGCTCAAGGAATTTTCCACCCAGGGTTTCCAAGCATTTTGCAGGAGAATCCCTTAGGATTGCAGGAGAATCCCCTAGGAGAGAGAATTATGGATCAGAACTGGACCAAGACTGGGACAGTGAGTCACATGACTTGGTATCTCTCTATCCTGTTTCATAGGTGGGGAAAGCTAGAGGGTCATGTGGTAAACTCAGATGTATCAGCCTCCTCCCCAGTAGTGTTAGCATCTAGAGACACCATATAAGGTTTTCTTTCTGCATTAATTTCATAGGTATATTTCCACAGGGAATACACTGGGGCTTTCCTCTTAGTATTGACCATGATGAAAACATTGCTTAACACCCCAAAGGCAAAGGATTTGCTGGCTCACAGTGTAAATTTGTGAGTTAACAAAATACCGGGGGTGCCAAAAAAAGGTATACACATCTTAAGCGATGTTAAGAGATGTCTGCTGTGATCAGAAGTGTCTGGACGCTGATGGTAACCACTTTGAACACTGATTGTAGTTGCAGAAGTCACACGTGACTTGTATTTATCTTATTGAGTATTACAATTTTAATAGTTTTTTCTTTCTTAAAATGTGTATACATTTTGTGATACCCACTGCATATCATCATTTATAAGAGCTACTAAATGAGATAACCCAATAGTCCATTTTAAAATTTTTGTTTTACCCAGCTTTGGATATAGAAAGTTGTTGGACCTCATGGTAAGGCTGAAATAGGTTAAAATGGCACATAAGTAAGTCAAGTTGAGTCGGGCCTGTGTGTAGGCTAATTCTGCTGCACAGAGCCTATGAGCTGGCTACCTCAGCTTTCCTTCCAGGGTGTTTCACTTACTGTCCCCACTGCTGGTCGACATCTGCTCCTCTCTGCACAAGAACTGGAATCACTTCGTGGTGATTATTCATAGCAGCTAAGGTTACAACGGGTCGATCTTCTTCATCACAGCAGTTGGGGTCTGCTCCCTGCAGCATAGGACAAAAATAAACTCTCTACAAAACCCTGCCCTCAGCAGCATCCAGTCACCTATCCTGTTAAAGAGCTAAGGAAAGAAAGTTGCTTTTAGGTCAAAGGAAAGGAGAATCAGGAACCTCAAGACCTAACCTATCATGGACAGAGTTGCCAAGTCACCTGGGTGATAAAACTCCTGTCCTGCACATCAAGGGGTGCAGACACCTGGGCAGCCCTGTTACTTTAGGAATCCCAGGCTGATGGCTGCATGCAATCAGAGCCAGGGACCCTGCCCAGCTTCATGCATGGTCCTTGGGCTTATAGGTAACCACTAATGTAAAGCTTTTGACTGGCCATTTACCTCATTGCCAAACAGTTTTTCCTTAAAGAGCAGGATAATGTTCACAGTAGTGAACAAAGCTTCCATCCGAAAGAGATGGGTGGAATGCCAGACTGGGCTCCTCAGAAACTTGGTCTTTGGGCCACACTTACTTCATCCAGCAGCTGCTCAATCACAGAGACTCTTCCTTCCCCAGCTGGTCCCACCTCTTTCAGCAGGAGCCGGTTTTCAAGCTGCGGGATTACAGAGTTGGTCATTCCCACCACCTCAAGGCAAACGCTTCCTCTCCAAGGTCCAAATTCCGAGTCATGGGGCCAAGTGAGTGTGTGTGCATATAAATATGTAAGTGTGTGTGTGTGTGTGTGTGTGTGTGTGTGTGGTCTTCAACAGCCTGCAGCACAAACATCCACATCTAAGGTCAAACTTGCTGTTTTTCCGTAATTTTGCTTCAGGCAAGGTCACCACATAGATACTGTTGTATGTTAAGGACAGGGACAGCTCACAAAACTCCAGAAACTCCACACTACTTTTATTATAGATAGTTCTAGGAAAAGCAATCAGGTGAATTCTAAAATTTATTTTGCACACTTTATTGAATGTTTAAGGTCAATCTAAGTATGATAGTTCAGAAAATGTGCTCACCCTGAGGAATGAATGAACCAATAAAGTCAATCTCTTGTTTAAAAACATATGCTCTCATTAATCAACAGAAATCTGGAGAATGTATCTATTTATATTTCTGTGTATGTGTGTGTGTGTGTGTGTGTGTGTGTGTGTGTGTGTGTGTTTTTGAGTTGGAGTCTCACTCTGTCGCCCAGACTGGAGTGCAGGGGCCGCTCCCGGCCAACGCAGCCTCGACCTGCTGGGCTCCGGCGATCCTTCCACCTCAGCCTTCCCAGTAGCCGGAATTACAGGTGTGCACTACCACGTCCGGCTAATTTTTTGATTTTATTGTAGAGATGAGGTCTCGCCTGCCCAGGCGGGTCTCGAACCCGCGGGATCAGGCAATACACTCACCTCAGCCTCCCAAAGGCGCGGGATTACAGGCTGAGCCACCGAGCCCGGCTTATTTATATTTCTTAAATGCCATGAGATTCATCTTTATATATCATCTTTTTATTTATTTGTTATTTATTTAGAGACAGCGTCTCACTCTTGTCACCCAGGCTGGAGTGCAGTGGTGTGCTAATAGCTTACTGCAGCCTCAAATGCCTGAGGGATCCACCTGCCTCACCCTTCCAAGTAGCTGGGACTAAGGACATGCACCCCCATACCTGGCTATTTTTTTATTTTTTGAAGAGATGAGGTCAGGCTGGTCTCAATTTTCTGGGCTCAAGTGATCCTCCTGCCTTGGCCTCCCAAAGTGCTGGTATTACAGGTATAAGCCCCCACACTTTGCCTATATATACTTTTTATAAATATATAAGGAATTTCAAATGCTGCAAGACAGAAAGAAGTAGACAAACAGCAGGAGACATCACTTCTGCCGCTTCTGCCGCTGAGTCCCAGGCATGACTGTGGGGTGGTCATGGGATCATCATTTCCAAGTGTAAAACGGAAATAATGCCTACCCCTTCCCTGGCTCCCTGGGAAGGAATGAAGACATTGGTCAAGGCCTCTGAGCCTTTCAGAAGAAGGAGGTGCTGCCTTACCCCCACCTCACTGATGAGTAGCTTGGAACAAAGTGATCTAGTCAGTGAACCCCCAGGAGGGGTCCTGGGGAACACTTGTTATACTGAATTCCATTCCTTATGAAAAAGGCACTAGTATGCACTGGAATGGCTAGTCTGAGACCTTTATGTCTTTTGCTCATGTTTTATTTTCAGCACCTAGAACCTGGCATATGTGTACTCAAAAATAATCACTGAATGGTTGAACAAACATTACAGTTTCTGATACTTATCCTCTAAATGCACATGAAAAAATAAAGGCATCTGGCAATGGGAGACCCGGGGCACACACAGAGTAAGTGGGTACAGTCTCCAAAATTGTAAATTGTCAAGTTTAGGGAACTCTGTACTTCTTTTATACTCATTAACAATCTTTCAAACTGGGAGAAGGTACAGAGCACAAGAAATCATAAGGATAAAAGGTAAAACAATTCTAAGATTGTCTTCCCAAATGTACTCATGTTTATTACATGAAAAGCATGTGGTGGGAAAGGCAAGATAAAGAAAGAGTTCTTCAAAGGAATGAGGGTGCAAGTGGGATGGCTGGCCTGCACCTCTGAGTCGCCTTGAGGGCCTGGAGAGATGGCAGGTGGAGGAAACACCCAACATTAGGCTGGGTCCAGCTCGGCCTGGGGCCTGGGCCTTGGGGCTTGCTGATAGTCACATCTGGTCTTTGTACTGCAGTCAAAGAGGACCCTCTAAGGTAAGGTAGGGACAGAGCAAGGGCATTCAGTGTCTCCTTCCCCAAAAGTCTCTTTCTCCAAAGGTCTCTTTGGAATTATTCTTGGCATATATTTTTGAAAAACAAAACTCTAATAGCTGTGGGTATAAACCACCAGAGAGTCAGTGATTTTTAGAAATTCCAAGAAGATTGAAAGTTAATGAAATCTGGCGGGGCACAGAGGTTCATGCCTATAATCCCAGTACTCTGGAGAATCACTTGAGCTCAGGAGTTCAAGACCAGCCTGGACAACATAGTGAGACCTCATCTCTACAAAAAATACAAAAATTAGTCGGGCATGAGATGTGCACCTATATAGTCTCAGCTACTCGAGTGGCTGCAGTGGGAGAACAGCTTAAGTCCAGGAGGTTGAAGCTGCAGTATGCTGGGATTGCGCCACTGCACTCTGGAGTAAGATTTTAACACACATACACACACACACACACACACACACACACACACACACACACACACAAAACCAGCTGAAGATACTGGAGACGTGAGTGTTTTCTTCCGGGAAGCCCTGAAGAAATTCAAAGTAACCAACAAGAAGGCTGGGTGCAGGCAGAAGGCATGAAACTCATGAGAGAGTTTTTAAGGGCTCTCTTGTGAATAGCTGAGATTACTGGTTGCCCTTATTCCCCACGTATGAAGAGCAGGAGGCCTCTTCTCTCTGCTTAAACCCTGATAACTATTATCCAGAAAGTGCATGATTTACCGGACAAAGGCTTCTACTGGGAGTGCTGGGGCCTGAGAAGGGAGAGGGGCAGAGCCCAGAGCTCCATGACTGCGGAGGGTGTAGAGGAAGGATAAAAAGACAGTTAACCCCAAACTGTCAAGAGCACATCATACCACCAACACCCTCACCACCAGAGGAAGACCTTCAACACTGGCAATGTAGGGGACACAAAGGCTTGCTCCTGCTCCCTACCCACACCCTCAAATGACGTCTGTCTATGACATGCCCCTCCACTCACACAGGGACTCAGACTTACATCTTCATGCTGGGCACCAGGCCAGCACCTGAGCTAATCCAATTAGCCATTCATTTGTCAAATGACCAGACAACCATGGATCATCACGTATTTGAGGCAAACCAAAATCACAAAGACAAAGGTGGGCTGACAGAACTGACCCCAGAGAAAACAGATATGATTCAGGAAATGAAAGACAACTTTGAAATATTTCTAATTCATAATCTTTAGGTATTATTAAAGATTCTGCCTCCATAAAATAAAAATATGCTCTATTAAAAAAGGAATGGAACATGATAAATTATTCTCCCATTTAAAAAACGACCAAGGAGGATACTTACTGTAAGTGGCTCCTTCTTTTCTTGAAATGCTTTTGTCTTAAAATTCCTTATTCTCTTGATTTTTTCAAGGGTATCTGAGGTACTCTGGCTGTAGTCACTCACTGAAATGACAAGAGTCAAGGATCACAATGACGCCCCTCTCCCAACTCTCCACATGTAAAGAGTGACTTCTATTGTCATGCTTCTCAAGAGTCAGGGGATAGATACAGTAGTTTTTATAGACATTTCAATTTTATTAAACCTGATAGGAGGGGCTCCTGAAACCACTTCCCTGTCCAAAAACCAAAGGAAGGGTGGAAAAGTGGGGCATAGAAGGGTCTTCAGTTTTTAGGTCTAAAAGTGCATCCCCCAAATGGATCTCCCCAAGCCCTGTGAAGGGCTTCAAAAACCTCACCCACTAACTTCAGAGAAACCAGAGAAATAAAATGGCTGGAATATGATAGTAAGACATGTGAGTGGGCTGGCAAATTTCTAGCAATCAACTACCATCCTTGCCAAGTCAGTGTGCACTTGGTCAATTGTTTTAAAATCACCAGGAGGGAACAACTCACCCCAGCTAGACCTGCTGACGTCCCGCCCAACATCACCCTCAGTGGCGCTGCTAAGAAAGTGGTTGCTGAAATTCATTGCTTTGTTCAGGTAAAGGTTCTGGTCAACGAAAAAAATTCAAATACCACGAGTAAGGAGGCTGTTCTGTCACAACAGAAAGAAGCATCTCCCTGGTAACCTGCTCCACCTTATCAATGATGGCTCTACCTACCTAGACAGTCGAGCCTGAGAGCATACATCCTTCTTGACTCTTCCCTCATCTTCCTAGAATACTGTGTCCATTTTGACTCCAAATTGGGGGTGCATACTGGACCCTTCCCCCTCTCCTCACTATAGCTACAGCCTTCTCTTCTCACACTGGGACCATCACAACAGGCTCCCTGCCCCATGGGAGCCCCAGTTACCTTACACCCTTTATTAGTAATGGTGTCATTACCCTGCTTACATCCCTTCAGTGTCTTGGAGTTAGGGTGGCAGGATGAGGAGACTTCAGGCTGCTGAGTGTGAATCCTAGGGGGATTTGCTTAGTGACCTTGGGGGAGCCTCAGATTCCTCACCCGTAAAGTACAAATATTAAGACTTCTACGGGAGGTTGTGAAAGTAAAACGAGATGACACGGGTATCTATATAATGAGGAGAGATACACAAGCCAGACACAGAATTCTGTGTGCTCCTGGACCCAGTCCATAGTACCCTCACGTGGCTACCTGTCTGCCATGGAGGACCCCCACCACTCTCTGAACACTAGGACACCAGGTTAAGAAAAAAGACCTATTAGGCTTGGGGACAATCATTCCATTCTACTTGACAGATACAGCATATCATAGATACTGTTGGTCCCGCTGGCCGGGCAGGGCCTTCACCCAGCTGCTGTCAACAGCTCCCAGCTGACCCTCTTCTCCAGAGAAATACACTCAGTAGATGGGTGCTGCCTTGCCCTGGAGGTGAGGCCCTCTCTCCTCTCTGCCTCACCTGGGAACACTGTGATGGAACTCATGCCCCAGAACTTCCGTGCACCAGGCTCCAGCTAAACTTTACTTCTGACTCACTCAGCTCACCCCCTGCCCTGACCTACTTCCCTCACTCATGTCTCCTGAAGTACTTCCCCAACCCAAGCCCTGCACTAGCTAAGCAACTGAAACCAGCATTTAGCATTTTACCTGGCTTCAAAGCACTTTCACGTGCATTTGTCCATTTGATACTCCCAGCTCCCTTGGAGATAGATGGGGTCCATGTATCCATCCCAATCTCTTTCCACCTCCATCCCTACCCCAATTTCAGTGATGTCATTAGCACTTCTCTGGACCCATAGCCAGAGCCTAATCCATGTTAGTTCCTCCCTTTCTTTGCCTTCTTTACTCATCTTCTCAACCTGTGAATGATCCTTTTGTATATTCTGTCTTCTTGTCCAATGAAACCAAAGCCACAAATGTTTCAATTAATGTTTGTCACATACTCACAGACTCTAGGCTTGTAAGGAAGTTCAAGGGAGACATGGCCATGAAGTTTGGTTTATTTTATAAAAGGAAATTCGTCAAAGCATGTAAAAGCAAACATTTTTGTCAGTCTTTCCTCAAATCATTGTATCACAGAAACATATTCAGACTTCAGTATGAATAAGCCTGAGAACTACAGGACAACTCCTGTCCTTATGAATCACTATGTGCCTGAAAGCAGGCGTCTCTGAGGTTTAGCTCAATTACTTATTTATTTCTATGAAACTGCCATAACATATTTCATAATGTTTGAAACTGTTCCTTGCTTTATACAGAAGTCTTTTCAGCAAGTTGTAAGCCACAATTTATGAGTGAAGTCAATTCTCAAATGAATAATTTCTGAAGGCTTACTTACCTTATTTGAGACTTGAACATAATTCAGCCTGATGCTAACTTCATAACCATCTTCATGGACAGTAGCAGAAATAAGCTTTTAAGAGAGTTTTAGAGATAATTCATAACTGTGAGTGTGGGACTCATTGCCCTGGGCAATAGACTATAAGTTCTGAGATATTAAACTCTAAATTTAATCAAATAATTAACACTAAAGAAGACTGGAAAACAGAAACAGAGGAACAAAAACTAGACAAGATAAATAGAAAACAAAGCAAAATGGCAGATCCAAATGTAGCCATATCTATAGTTCCACTAATTATAAATAAACTAAATACTCCAGTTAAAGGGCAGAGATTGCTAGAGTGGATAAGAAAGCAAGATCCACATCTATACTTCTTCAAGAGAATCACTTTAGTCAACCACATGTCTAGGTGTCATCACCTTGGAAAGGTATTCTGGTGGGGGGTGGGGGCAAGTCTTGGCAATTGAAGGACAAGTATCACAGTTGAGCAGCTTTGTCTCTAAGTAGTGAGAGGAATTCAGAGTCAACCAGGGAGAAACATCTGTTTTCAGAAAGAATCAAATAAATATTTCAGGTCTTGAGAGCCATATGTTTTCTATCATAAATACTTAACGTTGCTGCTGTAGCACAAAGAAGCCACAGAAACCAAGTCAAGGAACGAGTGTAGCTGTGATCCCATAAAACCTTATTTAGAAAACTGGGCCAGGCAGGGTACTCGTGCCTGTAATTCCAGCACTTTGGGAGGCCCGGGCGAGAGGATTGCCTTAGCCCACGGGTTCGAGGCCAGTCTGGGCAACATGGCGAGATCTCATCTCTACAAAAAACAAAAAAAATTAGCAGGGCGTGGTGGCATGCACCTGTTTGTCCCAGCTACTTGGAAGGTTGAGGCAGAAGGATTGACTGAGCCCAGGAGGTCACAGCTGTGGTGGCTGTGAATGTGCCACCGCACTTCAGCCTGGGCAACAGAGTAACACTCTGACAAAAAAAGAATGAAAGAAAGAAAGAAAAAATTGGGTAGCCAGATATATGCCATGGGCCATAATTAGCAGACCTCTGGATTAAAAATGTATATACTACCAAAAAAGGAAATTGAGTAATACAAGAAAATGAGACAGTTTCAGTGTTGGCCTACTTGATGGCAGAGAACCAGACAGTCTATTTTAAAGGTTTCTTCTAGTTTCGTAACAAACAGAGGAAAGTTCTTTTCGCGGAATTTTCTCTTTATGATGGTGAGGTAGTGCTGAAAAGCCAGTAGGTCTTGGGGTCTATCAGACCTGCTTCAAATCCTGAATCCCCCCAGGTCCAGCAGTGCAGGCTTGGGCAGGTCACCAAACCACTCTGAGCCTTAATTTTCCTGTGTGTCAAATAAGGCTTGTTCCAATTACCTGTTGCTATGTAAAACTACCCCCACACTTAGCGACATGACACAACTACCACTTCATTATGTTCATAGGTTCAGAGTGGGTTTGTCTTTGCCACCATGTCGGAGTAAGGCCTCAACGGGGAAATGCAAGTGGCCAGAGGTGGCTGGAGGTTTGGGGGCTAGAATCATCCAGAGTTTGGTACTCTTCTGGCTCCTGAGCTGGGATGGATGGAGGACTGCCTTCAGCTGGGGCTGCAGACTGGTACTCCTACATGTGGTCACTCCACATGGCTTGGGCTTCTCGCAGCAGGACTGGTCTCCAAGAAGAAGTATCAAAGGTGAGCATGCAAGCGAGAGAAGGCTTTGTACCCTCATTTAGCCACACTTTGGAAGACCTACAGCATCACTTCCGCCATACTTCATTAGTCCAAAAGTCACAAGCCCACCCAGATTCAATGTGAAGGGGCATAGGCTCTGCCATTTGAAAGGGAGCCTGTCAAAGAACTTGTGGCCAATTTTTTTTTTTTTTTTGAGTCAGAGTCTTAATCTGTCGCTGAGGCTGGAGTGCAGTGACACGCGCTCACGGCCACCACAGTCTCAACCTGCTGGGTTCAGGAGATCCTTTCGCCTCAACCTTCCAAGTGGCTGGAACCACATGTGCATGCCATCACACCCAGCTGATTTTTTGATTTATTATAGAGACGAGTTTTTGCCAAGTTGCTCAGGTTTGTCTCAAATCCATAATCTTAACCAATCCTCTCACCTTGGTCTTCCAAAATGCTGATGAGGCAGAGAACCCTTTCTCCAAGCCTCATGAGGTAAAGGCCTTCCCAGGATAATGAAAGAATTCTTCTAGCACCATAAGCTAAAAACTTTCTTGGATGATACATATTAGAAAGGAATGTGGCCCCAATCTGTAATGCACAAATGTAACTCTGCTGTAACCTTGAGCTATGAAATACCTAATTAACCAGTATGGTACTAACAAGTAAGCCTTGTCGGGAGACAAAGCTAAAATTGTATAAAAGATAATTCGCCCCTGCACTTGGGGCTCAGCCTTTGGATGCAAATCTGCTGAGCCAGTGCTGGCACAAATCAAATTGCTTTCTGGCCTCTGTCCCCATACTCTCTGTAAAGATTCCCGTTACATTTCTGGTGCATTGGCTGAGAAGCGAGAGGTGGAGACAGTGTTTCCACCTCCTTTGTCACTGGGATACACTCCCCAGGATATTGGGAGAGGTGACCTCGCCTGGCGCCAGCAGACTGCTTGATCCATAGGGGACTAGCCCTCCCGGCATGCTAGGATGAGGACCTTGGAAGCACAACACAACCCGGTGAGGCACAGGAATCAGTCAAGGGAGCTACGCCCGACAGATTGGTAAAAACCCAGGCTCGATTTGGTAGACCTGTCCCTAAGAGGCAGAAAGGGAGCCTGATCACCTCTCAGAGCTGCCCGAGTAGTCCCACAGGGGGACGAAACTGTAACTCTAAGGCACTGGGCAGCAGGTTGGAGAAGTTGTGTGAATGTGAGTGCTGTAGCCCTGATTTGGTTCCAGTGGTGACCTTCACACTGCTAAAGGGCCAGAGTAGGTTTGGGGGCCAGTGGTGACCTTCATATGGCTAAATGACAGGAATAAGTCCTGTAGTGGGACCTGGTCGGGGGTTATACAGACTCATCTATTGCCACAAAGGCACCTAAAATATCCCCGCGAGGGGGACAGCTGGAGAAGGGCAAAGCGGCTATCCAATCCTTTTACCCCCACTCCAATTCCTTCCCATCTTGTGTGTGATTGTCATCTTTTAGTGGGAGAAAATGGGTGGCAATAGAGTAAGCTTACCCCCTTAAAATACATGTGAAAAACTTCAAAAGGGGATACTCAGGGAATTATGGTATTAAGTTAACTCCCAGAAAGCTTTACACTCTGTGAAGTAGATTGGCCTTCGTTTGGGGTGGGGTAGCCTACTGAGGAGTTGCTAAACAAGCGACTAGTTTCTAAGGCACATTGTTGTCATTGTGGGGGATCCAGGTCACCCAGATCAGATTCCCTACATTGACTGTTGGCAAGATGTAGTCCTCTCTCACCCACCTTGGATAAAAGTCTGTCCAAAAAACAGCTCTAAAATAACGCTGGCCCAAACAACAGCTCCCTCAAGGTGCCGACCAGAGTTGAAAAAACCCGTTCTGTCTTGAGGAGAACCCCCACTCCCACCTTAAGCACCACAGTACCCCCTACTTGCCACCTGTACCCCCTGCAATTGCTGCAGTTGAAGCCGAATCAGAGTTTGGCCTAAGTCCTAAATCCTCCACTTCCCCAAGGTCACCAGAAAAGCCCCAGGCAGCAGCTACTGGAGAGCCGCCAGCATTAACTCCTTATGCCCTGGCAAAAAGGTATCAGAAAAAGTTTGCTAACGGCCCCCCTCCCTATGGACGTCAAGAGGCTTTACAACTGCTGTTGAGAAAAACAAGGGGGCAACGTACTTTTATATATCAGCCCTGTGCTACCACTAACCTCCTGAGCTGGAACCAGCACACCCCCTCGTATACTAAAGAGCCTCAGGTGCCCAAAGAGACCCCCAGCCAGTTTTATAAAAGGTTTTGCTGGGATTAATGCTAGCCAACTGATAGAGGTCGAACAGAGATATTTTGTTAATCAAAACCAAGAGGCCCAGAAGGAGCCAGACAGGAAAATTTTTTAAAAGTAGACCTGCTTGCTGCTGTTTTGACAGAGCAACACATCCGGGGAGCTGCCCTGCCAGGCTGAGGATGAGGCCAAGGCCGGGGCCAAGTCCGAGGCAAACAGAAAGACCAACAAAAAGGGCTGCCTCAGCCAGTTATAAGATTAGGGAGAAACCAATGTGCTCGCTGTTTCCGAGAGGGGAACTGGAAAAATGAATGTCTGGAGCTGGTGGATTTCTGTCTGGCTCCTCAAGAAAAAGGGAGAGGTCAGGCGGTTCAGGGACAATACCAGTCTATGCCCCAATCATACATGGCCCCCGAGAATCAATTTTTGGCCTAGCTGCATGGGAAACTATAGAAAAGACTAGGACAGGCTGGGCTCCATTTCACTAGGCCCCCACGAGCCTATGGTCTAAATGACCTTTGACTTCATGGTAGACACAGGGACAGAACATTCTGTAGTAACCCAGCTTGTGGGCCCTCTTTCACCAAGACAAGCTACCATTGTGGGAGCCACAGGTGACTGAGCCCATCATCCCTTTTTACAGTCCCGGTAATGCAATCCAGGGGGCCATAAAGTTGTCCAAGAATTCCTGTACCTCCCGATTGTCCAGTGGCTTTAATGGGCCAAGACCTCTTGGGAAAGCTGCAAGCCCAAATAACCTTCTACTCCAATGGCCAGGCAGCTTTATCCCTGGGGAGTCCTAAAGCAAAAATCATGACTCTTACAATTCCCTAAGGGAAAGAGTGGCACTCTATAGCCTCACAGAGGAGCCACAGCAAGAAACTGAACTTCCCTTCAAGGTGCCCAGGGTATGGACTGAGGATAATTCCCCTGGACTGGCCCGAAGCATATCCCCAGTAGTGATAAAACTAAAGCCAGGGACTATACCCATCCATCAGAAACAGTATTTCATCCCACACAAGGCATAGGTTGGGATCCAAAGACACCTGGAGAGACTTTCAAAATAGGAAATGCTCTGGCCCTGTCATTCATCCTGGAAAACGCCACTACTGCCAGTTCAGAAACAG